GCTGCTTATGGGGGCCGGGGGGGATTTTACAGTCTGTTGCGGTGATGTAGTTCTTTGTGAACGTAGTGACCCCTAATGGGAAGCTCGTAACTTAAAATCTTAACTACTCTTTGTAAGGGGCCTAATTACATTTTAACAAGGGTGATGAATGTGCATGCAGTTAAATCCACTTCTGCATTGTGCTTTTCAGTTACAGTGTAGCCCTTGCTGCCCTTTTGTGGCAATTGGTCATTTCCTCACGTGTGCTAATTCAGTTGTGTGATATGTTATTGATGAAACAGGATAGTTTTTTAAGCCTTTCGGACTTCGGCTGTCTATGCTTCTAAGTTGCACTTATAGTTACAAACACCTGGTTCATATCCTTACTTATAAAATTGTGGAAAAAGACTGGATCATTACAATAAGTAACTTATCAAACACTTGAGTGAAAGATGTATGTTAGTATATTCTCAGCACTGCTTAAATTACCTTAATATAAATTGCTATGATTGTAGAGGCTAGCTATAAATGTCATCTACTTGAACTTCAAGAATTACACTTTCATTTCAGGTCTTTAATTCTTGTAAGTATTTGAAATCCACAGTTTGTCTGATGTATTTTATTAGGAAAGTGTTCTACTTTTTTAGATAACATAAAAAAAAGAGGAGGGAGGTCTCCCTTTGTTTTTAATGCATATTAGTCTTCTTGAGGGGACAGTTACATCAGCATTAATAATCAGCCTTTGCAAAAAAACAGCGTATCACAGGTCAGACTGCAGAGTTTAAAATTGTTGTCAAGTTGAAATCCCTTTGGCAAGCTGACCTCTTACAGATACAGATGAGAAATCTAAGCTAAAGTTGGTGCAGTTGGTAACTTTCTGTATTATTTTTATTTGTTTTTAATGCATATTAGTCTTCTTGAGGGGACAGTTACATCAGCATTAATAATCAGCCTTTGCAAAAAAACAGCGTATCACAGGTCAGACTGCAGAGTTTAAAATTGTTGTCAAGTTGAAATCCCTTTGGCAAGCTGAACTCTAGCTTAGATTTCTCACCTGTATCTGTAAAATTTGGTGCAATTAGTAACTTTCTGTTTTATTTTTAGGATGCAGTTTGGTTTTGTTTTTCAGTAGTCATAACTGAAAGTTTATGTTCAGTCTTTCCAGTGAAAGCTGTGATTTTTGTAAGTTTTCGCTAAAGAAGTGAAGCATCTGATACAGTTTTTTAACAGGTTGTATCCTACAGTGTAAAAGGCTCTGTTTTCTAGAGAACAATAGAGAGGTGATGGTCACAGTCTCTTCTGTCAGCAGCTGTTCTTTGGAAAAATGTTGGGTTTCGCCAAAATGTTTCCATTGGTTTCAGAAGCACATATAAACAACACAGGCAGTGTGAGCAGGCCTGGTAACTCATTTCCACACTGGCATTTATCTCCTTCTGTTGCTCTGGTAAAATTTTTGCTCAGTTGCATGATGAGACAGATCAGGGAAGTGATCCAGGTTAAAAATAAGATTTTAAAAATGGCTTTTAATTTGGATCAGCTCCCTGATGTGGTTCATTACACAGTCGCGTAACTGGACTAACATAACTGGGAGGGAGAGGAGGAAAATGGTAGTGGAGTTATTCCCCAAGAAGTTGTGAAATGCTTTTGTAAGATAAGACAGATTGTTCAGTGGTAATTCGATTTGTGCATGCCTTATCATCTACAGGAGAAGTTTCTGGTTTTCTTGGAAAACTAAAATTCCCAAAGCTGTCTCTCATTTTTGAGAGAGAAGCTGCTTTATTGTTAAATATTTGCTGGTCGTAATTGTAGAAGATGCTCCTCCTAGCGCAGTTTAGTCTTTCTGTAATATGCACTGTATATGCAGTTTGAAGGAGGGGGAGCTTTAGTTGTATCTCCAAAAGGAATTTGGCTGCACTTGGTCTCAGGAGAAAAATTGAAACCACTAACCAAAACCTACTTAGTAACAAAATATATTAGGCCCAGTGAACAAAGCAACTGGCCTGTCTCGGCTACGGTCATGCTAACATAGCCAAAACTGAGTGTTCGGCAGGGAGCTCACTCTTTCTTACTGTACTTACTGAACTTCAATTATTCATGAGCAAACTAAAGTGGTGCTTTGACGAAATGAAGTGTAAGGGGACAAAATGGGCTTAAATATTTCCTGTTTTTTTTCAGGAAATGATGAGTTGTTGCTGACAACTGGCTGTGCTCTGAAGCAAACTACAAAGGTAATGGCCTTAAACCACTATTCTCTGGTTTTTAATCTGGTTTTGTTGTAAGGCATTGAAACAAGGGCACACACGAGCAAGTAGTGCTGTTGGCTCCAAGGTAGACTTTCCCGTGAACTACCCTGTGGCATACTTGCTTGCCTTTTGCTGTGGAGGAGGTTTTAGAGCCAAGAACCTATTTGTTACAGTTCCCACGTTCCAGCCTATATCTTCTTGTTTCGTATACCTGTTCACAAGTTCCCGGGTCTGTGTACCACCTTCCAGCCTTTCTCAAAACCTTACCATTTGAAATAGCGATCCAGAGATGATCAGCATAACTCTGATGTTTGTTTATAGAAGATGCGATTTCTTTAAGATGTCATTCTTTTCAAAGTTCATCACTAGTATGCAGCAGTGAAATGAGGAATGGAGAAGCGTCGCATTACACAGGCAACATGTGAAGAGATTTTCTTGCCGTGCGTGTGTACACTTTGCTTCACAGAAAAAAGGACACTTCTTTGTGTTTATGTCAGTGTTGGTGATGCTGCTGTTCCTTCCTTTACCAGCATTGTCTGGTGACTGGGGGAGGCTCAGAACTGTGAGTTCATGCCTTTATCACAACTACAGTCAGGACTTTTTGCCAAGCCCGTATCGCTGAGGTTACGGTGCCAGCAGTAACTCCGGAGGTCCCAGTCTACCTTGTGTGTAGTTGGAATTTTTCAGTGGCTAGCAGCAAAAAAGTATTTTAGCAGTGTGTTGAGCAGATGCTGAATGCTTGAATGTGCATCTGCATGGCGGGGGAGTTTTTTAAGTGTTAGTGTTTATGTTTTGACAAGGAGGGATTTCAGGCAGAAAAACAACCCAGTTGTTTCTTGCATATTTTCATCGTGAAGCTTAGAAAGCGAAGGAACAAATGCTGCCAGCACTGTGAAAGGTTGAAGTGAAGAGAATGTTACAGAGATCTTGAAGATCTGTTGAGTTACTGTATGGCAGAGGAAGAAATCGAAAGATCCTTTTGACCCTGTGCCATGGAATATGTGAGGTTTCCATTAGTAGACTTGATGTCATTTTCTTCTTGGATTCTAAATCATTTGTAAGTATCTGTTGGGAATTTGAAAGGGGCACGGTGACTTAGCCTGACTCAGTTTACCACATCCTGTAAAACTGAAGTTTTACAGCACAGATGGCAGTGAAGAATGTGATGTCTGCTCATACTTGTGCTCTAGCTCGATGGAGAAATGCAGGATTAAGTTGCAGTCTGAAAGTGTGTCCTGTGCTCTTATGACCTTAGAACCAAGGTGAGGTTTCTTGGCAGTTTCTGTTGATCTGAACTAGGGCTGCTGCTGCTGTTGCCTTACTCCCACTCCAGTACCTGACTCCTGGCTCTAGAACTTGCTTGTAGCACTATTCCTTTTCACTGATAAATGAACTTGGAGACTTGAAGTGGTTGCTTGCTTTTATTTAGACTTTACTAACTATATAAGAGTGCTTGTCAGTGTAGTAGTTCTGTAAATATGAAGTATGGATAAGTACACACTATTTTAAAATATTTTTCTGATTTTTTATATATATTATAATGTGGATTATATTACAGGTTTTGATCTAACTGCACTGTACAAGGACTGTTTCCAGCATTATGTATTCATAGATACTGCTTTTTGTGCCATCAACATCGCTATACCAGCGAAGCTTAAGGAGTTATGTGCAGTGGGTTTGTGTTAAAGGCCGTGTGAAAGTACAATTATGAATATTCTCAGTGGTAATGCAAACATAACTATCGATTTCAGCAGTTAAATTTCTCCAAACATTGCATTGACAAATCCTTAAGTTATATGGCTATTTAGTTCTAGTTTTCCTAGTCTTTTGATCTAGGTGAATGTATATGAACCCAAGCTTTCATAAAATACATGAGGATACTTTTGTCACTGACATGCATAAGATACGTCCCATAAATAGCTACTTTATTTGCATATTCTTATCTAATCCAAGTAGTGGCTACATTCCTCTGGTTACATCTTATCGTAAGTGAGGATAAAATGTATGAGATCAAATTGCTAAAAGCACAGACCACTAGTTGAGAGAATCTGACAGGTGATTTTGATCAATATGGGCAACAGGAACAATGACATTGGACAGTAAGCCACTGAGTATATTAGGTGCTGCTCACTTTTCAGATTAAGTTTAATACTCATGGTTTAAGATACACTTTTTTAACACCTGAAAGCATGTGCTTCTGTTACTAGATTGGGACTAAGGCTTTGATGTTTTCTGTAACCTCTAGCATCAGTATATAGCAATAGTTACTTATTTTTTCATAAAGATAAAGAGAGTTTGATTAGATGACAATATAACCCATGTTCAGAATATAGCATGATACTGTGCTGAATTCTGTATTGATCTTTTGTCTTTAATAGCTGTATTAATGTTCCCTTTAAAAGGTGTTAGTATGCCAGTACATAAAAGTAAATTAAATTACAGCCTTTTGGTAGTGTTGTACAAAAAAGCTTTGTTTAACGTACTGTTTTCTGACTTACTATCGTTGAAGAGCACAAACTAATGCCATTGTTTGTGGTTTGTTGCAGCTTTGTCCGAAGTTCTTGCATACCAACTCTACCAGTCACACCTGGCCTTTCAGTGCAATCGCAGAACTTATAGGTATGTGGATCAATAGTTTGCCCGAGTGCTTGATTGTAATACTTTTTTTCGTGTTATAAAAACTTTCCCCTTCAGATGGGGAAGGAGTTGATCCTGCTGTTACCATTCATAATTTTACAACATATTTTTTTGGTATGGTCAGATTGACTTTTTTCTTTCTTAACAGCATACATACTACCTGACATCAGTTGCAGGGGCCTTACAAGATTTGCTGATTTCTTTTTGCTAAGTTTATTAAGGATTGCCAAATATAGAAGACCATGGGACAAAATGAATTCCTTCTTTTCTGGTCCACCAAATGCAAGCCTGCTGCTTTTTGCTGTTCCGAGGCCCAGACAGTAGTAAGGCTGAGTGCACATTCCAAAGATGTGCGTGCACACTTGCATCCTGTACAGACGCAGCTGGCCGCAGACCGATTAGCACAGATAGGAGGACAGTAACTTTGCAAGAACCCATATAAACACAAGCAGTGCTGGAAACGTGAACAGCACAAATGGCCTTATCCTATTCCTGCTTCCGGGCTAACCAGGTTTAAAGTTCAGCAGCGGCATGTACATGTACTCTCACTTGCTTATCACTCGTGCTTACCCACGTTTCTGGGTGTTTTGCCAAGACCTAAGAGACTTCCCAGTATCTGTGTCCCGGGCTTTTTACCAGCCTCTGGTTTAGACCTTGGATCTCAACAGTTGCTGGTTTCTTCCAATGTGTGGACTTGTTCGACTTGAAGTTTGCCAGCAGAACAAACACGTACAGGCACGCATTGAGAATAGAGAGCACACTCACACAGGAAATTCTTAGAAATACTGTTTAGCAAGAATGTACAATGGAGTGGCACAGGGTCCAACCACACCGGCATACTGACCAGCAGCCAGCTTGCACACAATCAGCCTGTGTTATTCCCCTCCCACCCATTACACCATTCTTCTCCCATCCCCTTTGACCTTTTCCTTTTCTTTGGTGCTTCCTCAAAACATTCAATAGTAATTTTCACACATTGTCACATACTCCTCAAACATCCTCATTTTCTTCTTTTTGGGTTACCAGGTTTCTGGCTGAACATCTTCAGGGTTATACTTGAGTGGTTCCTTTTAATGGCCCATCCATCAGTGTCCAAAGAGTTCTGCTCTTTGTTACTGTCTCTGTCCTCTGCTGTTAGCTAGGGCTTGTGTATCTGTTTAATTTGTTAGCTCCTGTTGACTGTCTTGCTTTTGATTTTTGAATAACGATTAACTGGATATTTTCGGAGTTGCTTGTTTCCTGAGTTAGGGAACAATTAGCAGACTTTATTTAATTGGTTCCTCAAAGTAAAGGTGTGATTTGGAAAGACTTGCCAAGCTTATCTAGCAGTGTGCTGCTGCCAGAGGGAGCAGCTCTTCTAGTCACACATTCCTTCGCTTCTTGTGTACAAGTTTTGCTGTTGTTGATCAGAAAATTAACCTAACAAAAGAAAATAGGCATTTTTCAGCTAGATAAGGCCAGAGCTGTCACAAAGGAGGAAACCAGAACGACATGGCTGCTGGAAGGGCTGGCTGTTTTGGGGGTGACAATATGTTAAGTCATTTCAGCTATTTTATCAGCCCATGCTATACCTGGCTGGAATGATGGTAGATGCGCTGTGCAGCGCATGCAAACTTGCCTGCCTTTGCCCCTGGTTTGTCCTATGTGTTTCTTTAACAATGTTTCAAAAGCATAGTAGCAACATAATGGTTGTAAAGGCTTAGAGTTAGTTGTGTTGATTTTAGTAAGTTTTGTAATCTGTCTTTTGTTTGCTATGTAAAGCTATACCATATGCCAAATATCAAATAATATAAATAGGGTTACATTATGGAGACCTGAATTTTAGTTTATGCGAACGTAGCCAAAACGTTAATGGTCTGTATGCTAAAATTTACCTTTTAAGCTCTAGTCCCTCCTGTCAACTTTTTGATAGTTGTGTTGCTGGCTTCTCCCATTAGTCCTCAGTCAGATTAAATTTAGGTGAACTAATGGTGATACTTGGAAGAGGGAACATGGGACATCTAGAGAGAGTTGGTGAGCTAGCAAATGAGACTTCCACAAATCATGGTCTTAGAAGAATACTTCCAAACTTTCAGTTGTACTTGAAATGTCCTCTTTTGTTGATGCTGAATGACATTTTATGAACTTCTTCACTGTGGATGCAATTTGTACTTTATGCTTCTAGAAAGCAAGCTACCAAGCTGTGATTCCTTTTTATAGGCTGCAGTGTTGGCTTGAGCTGTTTGTTTATGGCCCTCAGTTGAACCCACAAAACAGGCGGTGAGGTAGGGGCACTGCCTCCTGCCCTGCCATCACATCCCACCCCTCCTCTTCCCCCCTCACAAATTCCATGAGTAACACAGTGCTGGGGAAAGGGAAGAAAAAGATGTGAGAAAGCAGAGTTGGGGCAGATGAGATTTAAATTAGCTTTGCTGCCAAGAAATGTTTGTGGAGCCATGGTTTCTGTTTCACTTGTAGTAGCAATGCTGCAAGCTCTTTCAAATCCTGTAAACAGAAAGTTTAGACTAAAGTATTTTGTACTTCCCTTCTGTGAAAGTCATATCTTCTTAGATTTGAACAACTTGCACTAGCAAAATACATATTTGTGATACTTAGCTCTGCTAATGTGGAAGTGATGTAGTACCAGAGCAGCAACGATTTTTTCACCTAAGTCTCCTGCAGCTGTGGAGTCAAAATTCTAGATTTCACAGAACTATCTGGGATGCAGGGAGCTGGGCTTCAGTTTTTTTGCTTGCCTTTTTTTAGTGTCTGAAATTTGATTTTCTGCAATTAAGATAGTATTTCAAATCTGATTTCCCAACTAAAAAGCCCGCAGACCTGCAGCAGGTAAGATGTTGTTGCAGCCACGTATATTAGTGATGTGCCACTGTCTGTATCGTGGACAATAACCTAACCTCCTGAGAGCCAGTCAGAAGCGATGTTTGCTCGGCTGGGAGAAAGTAAATATTGCAACAACTGCTTGGGAGACAGGAAGCGAAAGTAGAAACTTGTCTTGGTTTCATTTTCTGTTCTTGCATTCGAGCCACTCATCTCCACCTAAATTTTTGCTAACATATTACTGTCATCTGTAATAGCTGGGAAATTGCGTGTTGTTTTCAGGCAAGGTTTGCCAGATTTTGATGCAGCTGTTTCATCGTAATGTTTTGATTTAGTGTTGTCATCTATAAAGAAGGTGGTATTTTAGGAGACTTAGGTTTCAGCGTAACATTTGCTTTATTAAAAAGCATGGCTTCTTGCTTCTGTGCAGAAGTTGACTGATATTCAGTGACTTAACTGAGAAGTTTATATCTGTGCCAGCACAAAATTTCTGCAACTATATTTCTTACCTAACTGCAGCTCTGAAAAATGGTCACAATTTTAGAGCTCCATTAATTTAGCATGTGACTCCTTAGGGTCATAGGCCCACGATTAGGGAACTATTTTAAGCTGCCATATATTCACCGAATAAACATATGTGCAAGTGTAGCACCACAGTAAAGTTAGGGACAGCTATTCCATACAGCATTTGGCAGTGTTGCAAGACTAATATTTGGCAGATTGATTATATGTGTATTCCTGCTAGGTAAGGCTCTGTTGTGTGCTACACATGGATTTGAGTAACTTTGGAAAAGTTACTATCTGACATCTTCGCTGAAATTAAACACTTTAAAATATGTTCACACTTGAACTGTTTAATTTTTGCTTTTTAGTATCCCACCTTTGTTTGCTTTCTTTTTTTTTCAGATAATGCTTATGATCCAGATGTGAGCGCTAAACAGATATGGATAGACAAAACGGTGATAAATGACAATATGTGCTTGACATTCACTGATAATGGAAACGGTATGAACTCAGAGAAGCTGCACAAAATGCTAAGGTGGATAACCTCTTTTGCAATTTTTTTATTGTTAAAATGACAGCTTCTAGTTCTGTTATTGCTCAGCTTATTCCTTTTTCTCATATGTAATCGACTAATTTTGTTCACAAACTTAACATTTCTGAAGGTGAGCGATTATCCAAGTGAAACTCTAGAGTAGACAGATGCTGGTAAAACTTTCACACAACTTTGTCAGTGTATTTTTATCTCATAATTTCCTTTTATCCTTTTTGTCAACCTTCCCATGCAACTTTCCATGCAACCATTGTGCTGTGTAAACTCTCTGTAGTGCCCTTTAGTGGAGCTAAGGAGAATTTAAATTTTTTATTCTTAATTTTTTTAATTCAAGATTGCTTTAGTTTAAATTAGCGAGCAAGAGAAAAAGGGAGATGCTGTTCAAACCCTTTGGAGTATTGAAAATAGAAGGTATTGTGGAAAGCTTAAGGGAATGATAATTATATTGATGTGGTTTGTCTATTTATCTTTAAATATTCTGTAGGGTTTGAACTGATCTTTCTGCAACTTTTGTTCCTACAGTTGGCAAAGAGATTGCTGTTCAATTGCCCTTTTAGTATGAAAGATTGCTCTGACTGCAGATAAATGTCTGGGTTTAAACTTGAGCAAGCTCGAATTCAAACTGTTATTTTTCTTTTTCTGTTAGATACTGTACTTAATAGCTTGCTTGCTAAATTCTGTGTTCCATATACAGCTACCTATTTTACTTTAAATGTAATGGAAAATTTGTAGATGACACATTTTCAAGCAAGTGGGGGGGAGGGGAAGCTTTAGGGTTTTTTTCTTAATATTTATTGTGAAGCCACAGGATAACTATTAGAATCCTGTAAGAATGCTAATTGCATAATTCCAGACAGATGATATTTCTTTTCCATACTTAAAGATGAAAGTAAATTTCCCTGAATTCTTGCAGTGTGTTTTTTCAGCAATGTTATATAGGTAACTTGCAGGATTTGCATAACTGTACATTGTTTATTTACACAATAGTCCCTGATCTCTAAAGCAAGAGATTAACTCATTCTGTTTGAGTCTAATTTGGTAAGTCTTCCATGCATCTTTTGGGTTTTCAAGTTTTATATGACTTTTTTTACACTCTTCTGATGTTTTCATATGTCTCAGCTTCGGCTTCAGTGAGAAATCTGTGATGAATGGCCGTGTTCCAGTGGGACTGTATGGAAATGGGTTTAAATCGGGGTCCATGCGCCTGGGAAAAGATGCAATAGTCTTCACCAAGAATGGAGAAACCATGAGTGTGGGCCTGTTATCTCAGACTTTCCTTGAAGTCACAAAAGCAGAACATGTCATGGTTCCTATAGTGACATTCAACAACCAACATATCCTTTCAGCAATTTCTGAATGAGAAGTTGTATGTACATGCAAAATTTGGATGATAATATCAGTAAAGGAAATCTCCTTGTCTGGTCTTATGGATACACTGAATAAATTGTAAGATGCAAGGAAGGCTATAATTTGTTAAAACCTTTAAATCTGTAGGTGCTCTGAGATGTGGAATGATAATCTGTGAAGTGAGTACATGATACTGTTGCAGGAGTTTCCTCATTTTCTGAAAGTGTACTTAATTCAAAGTTACTCTCCTTAACATAATGCTTACGACAGTTAAGTGATCCAACAGAATCCAAAAACAGCCTGAAGGCGATCTTAACACATTCTTTATTTTCTACTGAGGAGAAATTACTGGCAGAGCTAGATGCTATAATGGGGAAAAAAGGAACAAGAATTATCATTTGGAATCTTAGAAGGTAAGATGAAATCCAGTCTCTTGTATCTCTCATTTAGTTTGTTATCTTTCAGCATACGCAAACATACACGGGTTTGGGTTTTTTTGTAGAATAATTCCAAAAGACTGTGGGCAATTAGCTGTAACTGGGAAACTGGACTCAAACTGGCATGATTGAAGGACTGTAATGTTGTATGAGAACTGTTGCTAATATCTCAAGTAACAAAGCAGAGGGAAGGAGAATGTAAAGGACTTTGTATTTTCCTTTGATAAGATACTGTTGCTTTTGCCAGAAGGAAGACTGAAATAGATACATTGTAAATCTGTTCTTTCAGACCTACAAAATTATGAATGCAAAAATTTAACCAAAAAATATTTGTATGTACAAGCATTACTGGCTTTTTAAGTTTGGAGTCAGCAGTATCCTTCTAGAGGGATCTAGACCTTTCTAAACTGCTTAACTCTGATTCCTATTTATTTTATGATAAAAAGTAAATAAATACAGTTGTGTCTATTTATCTTATTTATCTACTTGCCTCTGTAGGATCGTTCATGACAGTATAGATTTCCAGCCTTTTCTAGCTTTGACTTGCTTGTTGCTTTGGTTTTTTTTAAACAGCTGTAGCTGTAGCAGTGGCAGATGGATGTCATCACTTCCCATCTTCTTTTCCTTTCCTTCACATCTTTGCCACTGCCTTATTAGCAGGGAACCTGTCTGATGGTCTGTCCAGAAAAGCTTTAACATGCCTGTAGCTGGGTTGGCACTAATTGATTGGGAAGGTGTTGTCTTGTACTATGTAGTTTTTTTGTAGAATAATTCCAAAATGTTACAAGACAGAAAAGATCTTGGTCAATTATAGCAGGTGAAAAGTTTGTGGGGTTTTTATTTCATTAATTTCTTCCGAGTATTAGAGCCCTGGATCACTTTTAGCTTAGGAGACTTTGATACCAGAAAGCTGGAGGTAACAAACATATTACTAATTCATGTTGTTTCCCCTTGCCATCTACTCCATAAGAAAAACTTCTCCTTCTTCAGACTCAGAAACTAATTTGCATTGCCCAGGTAGCCTTTCATTTATTTTTAGATGTGAACATTTCTAGGAATGTGCATCACTTTGTTGCTTGAGCAAAAGAAAATACACTGAATTTGGCTGACTGGGCAGGATAACTTTCGTGTTCTGAATTTTGGAGTGTATTCCTGGGAAGTTGTGGGAAAGAACACTTCTGGGGGGAGTTCATGTTGTTTCTAACATGTTGTAATTGAATTTACTTTAAAAAAAAAAACAACACACCACCAGACAGACAGAGCTATTTCAGTATTAAAAGACTTTATTTCTGGAATATTTGTGCCAACTATAATGTGTCTCAGTGTTGTCTCAATGCCAGTATACTGCAGTGTATACATCTGCAGCTAAATATGGTATATACATCTGGTGAGTGGTCCAATAAGAAATTCTGATAATTATTCAGTTGGAAAGCTGTAGTGAGTGTCATTTTTGCTGCATTAAAAATGTTAGGAAGGCAATTTGTAGTGTTTAGAAATTTAAAGCCAATACTGACTGCTTTTTTGAAGTGTGACCTGTTTAGAATTAAGTTAGAATTAATGAATGTCTCACTTGCTATCACTTCTCTTGTATTGCTTGGATATCAGAAGGGAACTGATGAACTTTGCTTATGTGAGTTTTAGCGAATCTGTGAGGAAAAGCACCATGGCTCAAAGGAATTCCCTTTCTCGTGCATCTTTGTGATACCCACTGGGTCCACCACAATATCTTATCTTGTATTGGCTTTTTTTCCCCCATAATTAGTATTTTTTTAATCTTATTTCTTAGAGATAAAAATGAAAAAACAGAGTTTGACTTTGACAAGGATAAATATGACATCAGAATTCCAGAAGACTTAGATGAAACAGGCAAAAGAGGATATAAAAAACAGGAGAGATTGGACCAGATTGTTCCAGAGAGTGACTATTCACTGCGAGTATGTATAACATTTTTAAAAATGCATTTGTTTGTTTATTTTTGGAAGCTGGAGGGTGCATGTTTTTGTTTTAATATAATGTACTATACCTCAGAAGTGTTAATTGGGGGAGGAGGAGGAAATGCAATCAGTAGCTTCGGAAATTAAATAGGTGTGTGTGGTTGTCAGCGGAGTAAACGTTCCGTTGTAGTGCAGGTATACACACATAGTACTGATGCTGTGCACATGTGGACCTTTTAAAACAGGTAGGTTGTGGTTGGCAAAGTCATTGCTAGGTTTCAAAAAGAGGTAAAGGAATCTGGAAGCAGCTCCGTTGTTTAAATACACGCCTGCAGACAAGGCTTTTCTGTAGGTTAATTGATATGACCGTTGTCTCCACTGTTGATTCATAAGCTTTGAAGGCTCCTTTTTGTAAGAAAGTGCATCTGGAATGACTAGGTGCTCTGGACGCTGCTTGTCAATAATACTCAAAAGTATTAGTTCAACTGGAATAAAACCTTCAGTTATTCTAAGAGTCGCTGAAGTCCTGTATCTACTTCAGTTATTAGAAGTGGACGCTGCTTGTCAATAATACTCAAAAGTATTAGTTCAACTGGAATAAAACCTTCAGTTATTCTAAGTCGCTGAAGTCCTGTATCTACTTCAGTGATTAGAAGTTGTAAATATAATGATAAATGCAAACTAAAAGTCGAACATCTACATGTTTATAAGAAGACTGCATAGCTTGAAAAAAGCTATGATAATATGCAGTCATTTGGAACAAAGTTAATACACGCTTTTGTTATTTTAAAGTTTGTAGTAGAATTTTTAAGCTCTCAATAGGGGATAAGAAAAGAGGCTTCTGTGTTTGAGAGCTCTTTTAGTGATAAAACTGCATCTTCTGGCATCTGATTAACTTGTCATAAAAGTTGGCCTTCAATTGCTATTAATTTAATTTGTGTTATTTGTATGCTTATTATGCACACTTGCATTTCCTGTTTTTCTGGATTCAAGTTGGAAAAAAACACGTTTTATAAAATTTAATTAAAACTTGAGTTTGTCTTCCTAATCATAATATGTATTGTAAAACATTCGTATCTTGAGGTTTTGGTTTTTTTTTTTCTTTTAATAACAGGAGTTACTGTATGTTTTGTAGGCTTATTGCAGTATTTTGTATCTGAAGCCAACAATGCAGATCATTCTGCGAGGACAAAAAGTGAAAACACAGCTGGTTTCCAAAAGCCTTGCCTTCATTGAGCACGATATATATAGGCCAAAATTTCTGAATGTATCCTTTGCTAATATTTACATCATTGCACGTTGAATTTAATGATGTGACTTTTTATATAAGCTGTCTGGATTCTGCTGGGTATGTTGCAGTTACGTGTTTGGTTTCTTTGGCTTTTTTTCTGTGGTTTTTCTTTGGTTGGTTGGTCTTTTTTTCTTTTTTTTTTAAGACATACTGAAGGAATTATCTCAATATAAAAAAAGTAAGTTCCAGGGCCCAGTTTAGAATGAACACTCAGAGTAACTATATTTTTGTGTTACATGAGATTAACCAGATTTTTCCTTAATATCTGGTAAAAGGCTAAAACAGTGAGAATTACTTTTGGATTTAACTGCAGAAACAAAGATCATTATGGAATAATGATGTACCATAAAAACAGACTTATCAAAGCTTATGAAAGAGTTGGCTGTCAGTTAAAGGTAAGAAGTTAAAGCTAAAAATATTTTAAAATCTTTAGAAATCATTTTCTCTCAAACACTGTTTTTAAAAAAGAATACGGATGGAAACTAGGATATTGATGTAACCTTTATAAAATCACCTTTTTTTAGTTTGTGCAGCAGTTAAAAATTGTATTAAATTGTATGCAGTTGTTTTAATGTTTGTTTTTGAAACCAAGCTTGATACGCAAAATATGGACCTGAGCATATCTTTCAGAACAAAAAGAGGGGTAGAACAGAAGATTTTTTTATTTAGAGGGGGTTTGTGTCGAGAGTTTCTTTTTGCAGAGGAGTCGTAAGCCAGAAAATTGTTTTTATCTAGTATATATAGCTTATAATCATCTCTGGAGTATTAGCATGGAATATATGTTGTTTTTCCTGATAGATCTTAATTTCTTACAGGCAAACAACATGGGTGTTGGTGTAGTTGGGATTATTGAATGCAACTTCCTAAAACCAACTCATAACAAACAAGATTTTGACTACACAAATGAATACAGGTAAACATATGTTTTTACGTAGACTTTCTATTGAATAGCATTGTTCATTGTGAAATATTTGACAGTAAAGACTTCTTTTCTAAGTTAGTAAGAATAAAAGCTTATGTTCCATCATTAAACTGCATGACTGTTCTGATCAGTAGGGGTGGGATGTTTACATCTACACTGGTCGTACCGTATTCATTGCGCACTCAGTGAAGTCTGGAGTATCATACACATCACTTCAAAGCAAGTGCTCTAAAAGTGGTTGGTTGCAATTCTGCCCCTCACCTATTGTAAAATGAGCACACAATAACTTACTGAAATGTGGATATTTGTATGGCACATGACTGAAATTGGAATACATGGATCCCACACTATTAACTTTTGGTAACAATTTTAGTTTGGTATTTTTTTGGAAAAGCTTTGTGGAATATTTTTAAGCCCTTCTTTTCAATTTCTTTCCTAAGAGTGACTTGGAATTGCCCTCAAATCCCCTGCTGCCTGCTAGACCATTTAAAGTACCTGATATCCTGAAGGCAGCAGTGATTTGGGCATTGCTTCGTTTCAGTTTTTATTTCTAGCTCAGGGTTGCCACTTTTTTACATATCTGCATCCATCCCATCTGTCAATATCTAGTGTGATATTTCCTATAGTGAAACTGAACCAGGTTGGGAATCTAGTCTGCGTTTTAAAATTTTCAGACATGATAATTGTTTTTAAGCCAGGTGAATTTCAGAGTCTGTTTACACTGCTGTGCTGTGAATCAGTTGTGTTGGCATTGTGGAAGGAGTTGTTGGGGGAAGGAAAGACTAGTAGGGGATGAGTTTCCTAAGCAGTTTTTAGGCCGAGGTGTAAAAACTATCCAGGGAAAATTTCCTGAATACAAACCTTGAGAATTGTTCCCCTCTGTATTACTTACTTTCCTTTCATGATGACAAGGCTATTTTCTGTTTTCATAGAGTCATTATGGTTGGAAGAGACCTCAAAGATCATCAAGTCCAACCGTATATCTGATGCCACCAAGCCCACTAAACCATGTCTTGAAGCACCACATCTAAACGTTTTTTGAACACCTCCAGGGATGGTGACTCCACCACCTCCCTAGGGAGCCCATTCCAATGCCCATTTTCTGTGCTGCTTTGTGTTAAGGGGTATTAGGAGTGGCCACTTCCTCCAGCAGCTCTGTCCCAGGACTCCCTCCTGCTCAGCTACTGGACCCCAGCCTGGGGTCCCAGGGTTTCTGCCCAGGCTGAGGGACGTGGTTGCCATTTTCCTCTTTGCAGGTTCAGCCAGTAGTAAGGCTGAGCACGTGTATCAGAGACACACACGGAGAGGGCACTGACATGGCTGGTTACACAGACTGCCGCACGCAAGGTGCACCTACATATAGGACTCACATAAAACACAAAAGCGAAGTCCCCTTCCTCCTCTTCAGCTGGTAAAGAGAGAAGCTCGCTAGAGAAGGCCACACGCACGACACTCTAGGGGCACAAGCACGTGTACATTTGTGGATCCCCTGAGTACTGGCACAGCTGTTTTCCTGGTACCCCTGCTTGGATCCCGTCCCTTTGACCTGCTTCGCAGTCTCCTAGGCGCTGGCTAGTGGAGTTTGATGTTTGCTAGGAAACATGTGCACACTCACACACTCATACCACAAACACTCCATATTTGCCCATCCACCTGTGTATACCAGCACAAGCCCTGCCTGATACCGCTGCCGGGATCCGGGGCCTCCTGTGCCCTGCTGAGCCTGTTTTGGAGGATGCTACCAAATACTTGTGCATGCTCCACGTACACCAGGACACTGGGGAAGATGCATCCCCCCACCAGCAGTCAGCACCAGGCCTGTGGGCTGTGACCCACAGTCTTGCTCCAGTGGCCAGTGCTGAGCCCCTCACTCATGCTGGTCCACCTCAGGAGCTGGTTTTGGCGGGACACACTGTTCCTGCTTCAGTGGGTGGCAGCTGAGACCCCGACTTGTTCCAGTAGCTGACACCACACACCCGATCTTGGTGCTAGAAGCTGGCACCAAATCCGCTCACATGCACACACACACACAGAGCTCTCACCAGTAGCTAGCACTTAGTCTTTGACATACACATGGGATACAGAATGAGATTATGTAGAGAGTTAAGAGAATGTTAAATAACAAGATACAAGAAGATAGGACAGGCTGTGGTGATCAGTTGCAAGACTGAGCCAGACAACTGTACTGACTGAACCTGTTTCACGTGCAACCAGCTCCTCTTAGACCCTTTTCTATCTACTCCCCTCTTTGTTCCTCCCTGCTCCCCCTTCCCCATGCATATTGCCTCATCAGTTAGCATAGTTCCACTGACCCCTGCCAAACATCCTGAATCCTCAGATTTACATCCTTATCGGTTGCAAAATCCCAGTTTGCCTGCAGTTCTTGGTAGCCTGTCAATTAGCGTGACTGACCAGGTTTGCTTCTGGTTATTGTCTTTGTTAACACTAATTGGTCAGGTTTTATGACTCTGTGTTTGCCTCCTTCCCTTTCCTTATCCTCCCAGCTGAAAAAATAAACATTCTCACACTCCACATATCCTTACCAGTTAGGGTGACTGATCAGGTTTGTTGTTATCACTTGTCAGTCAGGTTTGTCTCTGTGTGTTCTTATTTATGGCTCCTCTGACCATATGCCCTTAAAGGAGCAGGCACTTTTCTTCTGTGTGCCCTAACACTTGCTTTCAACGTGGGCTTAGAAATTCAGGGTATCGACTTGCAAACGTGAGGTAAACTTTGGCAAGAGAGAAGCAGTTACCTTTTTCAAGCTGCATGTTTTGCGCTTCAACCAGTTGTGATTCAGCTTCCACTGGCAGCCTAAACTGTCCACAATGCCTTTGCTGATTTAAATGCAGTTCTGCATATAAAGATAATCCAGAAAGCACACCAGAGTGCTGTAATAAACAGACCCGTTAATTGCAGCAATTGAGGGGCTATAGCAAGATAAATCTGGTCATTCTTCGTATTGAAACAACCCTCTGGAGGAGAAGCAACAAGCCTGATAGCTGCTGCAGCCACTACAGTTAGATCTGCTTGTATCTTTAAATGGTACCCACACTTTGTGCTGCTCTTTGCAGTGATACTGCCAGCTTTAAGCAGTTCCTGCATTTCTACTGCCATTGTGCTAGCAGAGGTGTTAACGAGAACACATGGTAAAGCAAATCAAGGAATTGGTCAAACTGGAAAAAAATAGCTTTTGTGTTAGTTTTTTTCAATACAGATGTTCCCTGAATCATTTCCTGAGCAGTGGCACCAACAATTCCCTTGGCAGAGGGGGAGGAATTATTGCCGTAGTTTGTGTTGACCAGGGTTTGCCCTGTATTCCCACAGGCTGGCACACTGAGCATTGACTGCTTTTTACTTGTTTCCTTTTCCAAAACACTTGTAATGTGGGCATAGAGATGCTACACTTGAAAGATCTTTTATAAAGGTTTTTCTGCAAAGAGTGCTACAGGTTTTCAGAAGGTAACTGTCCGGCCCAAAACAGAAATGTAAAACTGTTGCTGTAATTTCAAGATGGCCTACTCTTCTTCCCTCTCTAGAAGAGAGATGTGATCCCATCCATGCATTGCTGCTCACTTCTGCCCTTGTGGTGCTTCCTTTTTTTTGGCACAGAAATTCATGACTTGGGTTCAGAGGTGATCGGGATTAAAACTCTCTAGGTCAGACTAGTTCACTGCACAAACATTTGTGTTAGTTCAAGGGAGGGGGTGGTGCAGGTGTTGGAATAAGCCAGGCAGGGAGGGACTGACTTTTGGGCTCTGGTTACACAGCCACTTTGCTCTGACGTAAATTCGGTGTGGTGACAAGAGGCAGTCTTACCTCTAACTCACCTGTGGGGCTTGTGGTTCTTCTTCCGCACCACTCCCTCCTGTGTGTGCCAGCTCTAGTGGTCATTGAGCTGCACGATGAGCCCTGATTGGGAAACTAGTCCAGCTAAAAATTAACCTAGGCTAAGACTGGCCTGCTCCTTTTAGCAGCATCTAGATGTTATACTACATTAAAGTGTTTGTAAGTTTGCAATCTCTGTGTAGTATTGTTGTATGTCAACTTAGAGTAGTCGTGAACCTGCAGT